CCTTGGCTCGCCATCAAATTTACCTCTGCCCAGTGATCGACTGAGACCCTTGGTCGTATGACGTAGTGGTAACGGGTCGTCGCTTTACGCATACAGGTCGACTGCGAATCTCGTTTGTGTGCTGAGGCCCAAGCGAGGTGTCGACCGCAATCCAGTCTAGGTGATAAGGCTTTCGGGCAGAAATTATCAAGTGCAATTTGATTGCTTTGAGTGGCATTCTTCTTTTATTTTATTGTTAGAATTTATTAATTTTAAACTTTTTGGTCACAGTAAAAGTCAAAACGTGTCTCCTATTATTAAAAATGACCTAGTCTCAACTTAAAAACGCACGCAATTGTAATTCATAAAATTTAAGTTTCCTTTCAGTTTAGGTCGCTTGACGCTTAAATACTTTATATTTGGGGCGCCTGGATGCTTAAAAAGATGAACAGATTTACGTGAAGCCAGTAGCCGTGTTTTTACTAATTATGCACCAATAACAACTATCAACGTGACAACGAATTAAAATTTGATGCCATTCGAAAATAAAGTCATTTGCTGATTCCTACAGTACTCTCTAGCCACCACGAACCGTGGCTAACAGAAAGCAATGAATTAAACATTATATACTCAGCACTTATTATAAATAACATTAAAATGTATTCATTTCCATTTAATTGTTTTCAAATTTTAAGCTTTAACTCTCTGATGCAGTGACTTTCATGCAAGAGCTCGATTCTTCAACTCATTTATCCAGATTAGCAACAACTTTTAAGAGCGAGGGAGCATCATATAATATTATTCTTTTGGCAAATTAGCCCTTTATTCGTTACTCATTATCCTACCTCATGAAGATTGCAAATCATCGTTTTATCAATGAGTAAATAAAGTAGATGACGTGTGATTAACGAAGTAATAACTGGAAAGACTCCGGCTTAGTAAATGCAAACATTCAGCTACCTTCACCGTAGGATCTTACCGTTTTACCAGAACTGCACACAACTTCAGTCTGCTAACAAAGGCACAATATTATTTCTATCTCGTAAGAAGTGATTAATTTATTGGATACATTGGCTTTCCTAATCTATTATTATCAAAACATTGTCCTGCGACCCAAAAGTATGATTATCATGAGCCAAGCATTACTCCGTACGACAGACCTCCTCAAAACAGATTATTTTCATTAAAATAAAGGTTACAAAAGCATCCCCTTAATGTTTCGTCTTTTCCGCAAAGTGTAGTAAGATTATTCAGCTGGAGTGCCACTAAGTTACTTCAAATAACAAGTCCTACTTAAAATTGAATTAAATGAAATCTGTCTTATCATATAGCAGTTAGTAAAATAATTCGTAATCTCATTCATGTGTTTTGTCTCCCAAAATTAAGCAAATAATCCTGAATTATATTCATAAGGTTTAAAGAAGCATATTCGTCTTGAAGGTCCGATGTTGCGATATAACCATACCTGTTTGGTCGGATTTCTATTTGACTTTCGATGCCATAGTATTGCCGTTAAATGTGTGGAAATTTGCTCCTGAATTCTCCTAATATTTCGGCTTGTATGGCAAGGCCTGAATCTTTACGTATCAAGGAAAAATCTACGTACTATTGATTTAGTATAAACGAACAAACCCTTATTTGATCTGCCCGGTTTTCCGTTCTGATAAACTTCCGAACTTTAATTTGTTACCTTCTTAAGCTCGTCCCGGCGTGTATCCATTTGGCTATGAGCACCGAGTGAATGAAATGGTGAATGGTGGCTCTGCCTTTGACGAGTTGGCCGGAAGATCTGCAATTATGGCACAGGATGGACTGGGCGAACCTGACATGGAGAGCGAGATGCGAATCTTCGTAGCGCTTTATGATTATGATCCTGCCACGATGTCGCCAAACCCGGATGCCCTTCAGGAGGAATTGCCTTTTCGCGAAGGCCAGCTTATCAAAGTATGTTGTTATCAGGACATCTTTAAGCTTAATCTGTTTTTGTTAACATCGACATCCTAGGACAGTTTTTTTAATTTTTTTCTTGAAATTTCGTGAATTAAAAAAATTCCAGTCTAAATTAATGATAATTTACTGAACGTAAGGCTGCTTTATTCGTCAAGGTCCACAACCTTGTATCTTTATGTCTTGGACGAATCCTTAGATCCAAAGTTAACTTCAAGCTGGCGAAACGAACACCAACCATTAAATTAATCAACGGTCAAAATATGATATAAGAGCTTTACTATAGCTAATTATAGAAACTCACTTGGAAGTAAAATACGAACATTGTACATGCATACACTAACTGCATAGAAGTCTCGATGTCAGGCAAATCGAGTTTATTTTCTTCTTTCATCCCCTGAATGAAAGATGAAATCCAGATTATTATCTTACTTACTAAATTACTAGTAGTCTCTTTACTTACATTAGTTTATGCGAGTAAAGAAATTTATACCTCATTATTGCCACTTTTGAGAGTAGGACTCATTCATTTAAATCAAAGTATTTTGGGATTA